GTCCCAGGGAGCCAAAGGTGCCATCCTTCCTCCCCAGCAGCAGTGTGTCCGGCACGGAGCAGAGACAGTCGGTCCCTCTCTCCACCAGCAGAGAGAGTGTAAGGGAGAGGAGCTTGTTACCCCCTCTCCCCAGCGGCAGCGTAGCCCACCAAGGGGAGGCATTAAGCTCCCCAACGGCGCAGATGGGACCATGGTCTCTGCATTCAAGCTACAGGGAGTACGGACAGTCGGTTCTGCTCCCCAGTGGCAGGGTATTCTACCGGGAGGGGAGAGCCTCGTTCCCCCTCCCCAGCGGCAGCATAGCCCACCAAGGGGAGATGATAAGCTCCACACCGGTGCAGATGGGACCGTGGTCTCTGTGCCCAAACCACAGGGGTAGGGACGGTCGGTCCTGTCCCGCAGCAGGCTGTTTATCCAAAGGGGAGACAGCCTGTCTTCCCCTCCAGCAGCAACACCAGGTCCAGAGCGAGAAGCCTACTACCCCTTCTCCTCAGTTGGGCTCCAACCAGGCTACTCAGCAACCCACAGATCCAGAGGGCTAATAAACCCCAGAGCCATGGTGGAGCCCCTGGTCATGGACAAGCTACCCACTACCCCAGGTGCAGTAACCAAATTTTGTGGGTGGGCAACTCTGTTGATTATGTGTTGTGGGTGGGTTGCTGGACTAACCAGGGCACTGACCAACAGGAGGTCAGATACCCTGTTAGTCTGATTGGTAAAGGGGAGAAATGTGGTGGAACCAACCTCGCCACTGGCCACTGGAGGAGCCTGTTTGCCTGCCTCCTGCCACTGGACTATGGCCCCATGTTTAACACTGTTCTTTTTCCCTGCAGAAAGGCTACTTCATGCCTTTCTGCAGACTGTTAAAGCCATGCTACCCCAGATAGCTATGCCATGGAGCCCAGCCGTACTGAAAGACTGTATGAAAGACTTTGGCTCCATGGCGATTGAACTGTATGTATGTGATCTGAGCGCCATCCGGTAATAATGTGCGCTCACATCTAAGCTATCTGGGGATAGGTAGAATGTGTATGTTCTATGTGATAAATGTAACAGTATGTATTTTTATGTCTTTTATTGTCCTTTGTCTGCCATGTGGTTAATGGAGTTTTGCCTCTGTCCTTGGAGATAATTGGATTACTTCCCAATTATCTCCAGGACAGA